CCCCCCATGGTGTTGACATCCCTGTTGTTCGACGGCGCCTTTGTACTAAAGTTTGTAGGGAGACCGCAAAAGATTAAACTCAGTGTCTTCATCGCAGTTGCTGCAGACAGGCGCACACGACAAGAAAGAGTTGTTGCGAAGGGCCTGCTGCCCATGTGTGCGTACATGAGGAGGTATTGGAGCCTCTGTTTCAGCTTCGGCGCGCGTCTCTGGACCTCCTCATAAAACTCCCGGGCTTTGCTGAATGGAATCAATAAATCAACTGCTGGCTGGTGTCTCGCTGTCTGTTTCCTCTCTCCTTACCTGACGATGTTCCTGACAATGGGGAAGGGCTGTCCCATGTTCTTGGCGTCAAAATAGCAAATGGCGCGGACCATGGCAACGGAGAACATGCCTGCTCGTACAGGAACAAGAGCGGTCGTTGGATGCGGCGCATTACTCTGTCTTGTGCTTGAGATCCGTACCTGACACCGATCCTTCGTATGGAAGCTCCAGTGCTGCCTCATCGTGCCCCAGCCCCGCAGCCCAGAATATCTGTATCTCTGGAGCCGTGGACAAGGTAGGCCCGATTGAAGGACTGGAACATGAGAAAAGAGACACGGATAAAAGATGCAGTGGACAAACACGGCTGCTCGCCTCACTTTGTGGCGACGTTCACAGGTCTGGGGACGAGGTCCATCTCCCTCGGCCTCGTCGCAACTTCCTGGCCTCGCGAATAATCCACAATAGGGCCGAGCCTCTCAAAGCCCTTGTGGATGAGATGTTGAGGTGAGACACCAGCCTTCGCTTTCGCTCGTGGCGCATCCGTGAGTATCACAGAATTGAACGGTGAGTGGCCGCAGTCGAGAAGGACGGTCACGCGCGCCTTCTGCTTGATAAGGCTGAGAACCTCGGCCAGATCCTGGAAAGTGATCACATTGTAGCCTGCGACAGAGGCAGGAAAGGTATAGCAGGAGACGCACATATTTCTACCCACCGCGGGACTGATGACGAGTGCCCGGCGAGCCCCTGCTCTCATCCCCCAGTCGTGATGCCGCCGGTGACGCAGTACCGCCATCCTTCCATCCCGCTAGCTGCGCATCCCTCCTGGTCATGGGTGTGTCTCCTGCATCCTCAAACTGCTGGTCCCAATCGCACGGCAGCAGACACCCCTGCAGAGTCGCCGTTCCGCCAATTTGTGGCGTGCGTGACGAGGCGGAGGCTGCCGCCGCAGCGCTGCGCACGGGCAGGAGAGCCCCGGCTCCCGCGAATATGAAGACAATGTTCTCGTCTGGCTCTGCGCTGCGGGCGAACTCCGTGAGGGTGGCGAGGATGTTGGTACGAGTGGCGAGCCGGCTCTTGATGCCCTCAAGGGGATTGAAGGACTCTGCACGACATGTGAATAGCATGTGTGTGTCATTTCTTGTATCTGCTTCAGCTGTCATTACCTGGCTCCTCGGCCTCCATGACGTAGCTGTCTCCGAACAGGGGGCTCCGTTCCTCCTTCTTCCAGTTAGCAGCGGTGTCGATGAGCGTCACCACCTCGCTTTGGACCCACCCGCAAGACAACAGGTAGTATGACCACACGATGGCGTCAACACAGGCCCCCCTCAGCTTCACACCGCCCCTCGATCGTTGATAGTTGCACCCGACGACGAGCGCCCTTCCTTTCTTCATCCCTTTGGGCAGGCGGCTGGCCATGCCCTGCAGGAGGGCTCGCTGGAAGGTGGCGTTAATGTCGATGCGGGCAGGTGACGGGCCGGGGGTGGTGTGCGCTTCAGCTGGAGACTCCTGAGAGAGAGCATTCTGCAAGAAGAGGAGGATGTACGTGATACAAGGCGGCACTCTATGGCATTGTGTGTACCAGAGCATCCTCGACCGCTGCCTCGTCTTCCTTGAGCTTCTCAAAATCAGCCTCCGCCTCCGTCGAGCAAAGCTCCATATGTTGTGCGTTCTCGTGCTCCGTTTCGATGAGGCTGGTGGTAACGAGACACTGGATGTCGAAGTATTCGTGGCCCACAGACTGGAGTGCAACACCCAGACGCTGATATACCGAGGCACGGAGAAAACCGTAGGGAAGACCATCAAGACAAGGCAAGACAGACATCATCAAAGCAAACACATTTTGTTTACCTCAAGGTCGATTTGTTTCCCTGCTTGCAGTGCTTGCAGCTGTTCCTTGATGTCGCTGATGGTCTTTTTGCAATTCTCCATGCTCTTGACTGGGAGCTTGTCGGTGTGCTAACAGAGACACGGTACAGACGCTGCTTGGCTGGCGATTCACCAAAATCCGTGTGAGCCTTACCCTTTGCTGCATGGTCTTTCTCAGGTCCTCCTCTGCCTGCTGGCTCTCCAGTGTGAGATGCTTCTTCCAGCTCTCGACCCTCTCGTGAAAGGGGTTCCTGATCAGCCAACAACCAGCCGGTCGGCCCGTAGTATAATGTCTCCGCTCGTTTCAATTTGGCCCCTGACATACCAGTAGTGGAAGAAGGATGTCTCTGCCTGCTTCAGAAGCCGCACATCATGGTCCGCCTCGACAGTTATGCCTCTGAGTGACTCGATCACACGCCGACAGCTTGATCGGATGTCGGTCTCATCAATCCTCTGCTGGCCACCGAGATTCGCGTCACACTTTGTCAGCAGCTCTTCAAGCTAAGAAAGGACAGGGCGAGGAGGATCACGCGTATTAGCTTGCTTGTCATTCTGCGCACCTTATCCTTCGCCTGGGCTTCTCTATGTGTCTCTGCTTGTGTCTCGCCCTTGATTCGGTTTTCTTCCACATTCAACTCCTCGAGCGCCTTGGCCTCCTGACAGCCAACAACGGCTGTACATGCATTGCTTCATCATTTCCTTTTACCGGGAGCTCACTTTGTCCTTCTTGCTTTTTAGTCTCTCCTCCAGCTGTCGAGAGGTCATGTCCAGATGGTGTTTCATAGTCAAGTGGGCCTGCTCCTCAGCAGCTTTCTTCTGACGCATCTCGCTCAGGGCTCGCTCAAGCCGCTGACGACCAAAGCTGAAGGCAATGACCACAGAGACTACACGTTTTTCTCGTCGCTGAGAGGCATTGTCGTTCACCGGATGTCTTGTGTCTTTCTTTCTGTCTCCTGTATGCCCCTCTGTACGGCCAGCATTTCATCCCTGAGACGGGATTCGTGCGCAGCAAGCGCAGTGGTCTCCTCGTCAGTCTGCAGCCAATCGTACAGAGGGCACTTCCCGCAATCTCTTGTCGCATTTCACCTTCTTGCTGGCCTCTTCGAGTTGTGTGGAGAGCTCGGCACCCGCTTCCTGTGCGTGTCGGAGACCCACATTGTCGTGCCAGTGAAAGGATTTCACACTCTGACCTCTTTGCGCTTGATGTCTTCCTTTGCTTGCTGCAGTGCCTGCTGGGCTGCCTGTATGTTGGCCTCAATGGCCGCCGTCTCGTCACTCATCCTCTCGATCTCCTGCTGTAGTCGGGCCTCCTGTGCGCTGTCCGCCTGATCCGACACCTGGGACTCCTGCCGACACTGACAGGAATCAGCAGATGACACATCCTTCTTTGGACGTCGGCATCAGTCTCTCTTACTTGATCGATGAGAGTCTGCAGTTGCTGCACACGTTCCTCCATTGATGCGATCTCGTCTTCCTGGGTCTTGACTTCCCTCTGCATGGACGAGACGTCGGCTCTGTGCTGCTCGAGCTGCTTCTCAAGGGTCTGTGCCGCGTCCTGCTCCTCCTGAAATTATGAGAGGCACGATCCGTGTGCAGACTGTAATAACACGTCGCTGTTTCACCTTGACGTGGCCTCGTCTTTCATCGAGCATCTGTCGAAAGTCGTTCTGTTGCTTCTCACGGTCATACAGAGCCTTTCTTTCCCTAGCAAAGGCCCTGAATAAACACGCATCCAAAACATCCTGAGGGTCGCCAACCAGACAGGGCGTGTGCAATTGGCGTACTCTTCCATTTGTTGAATGGCCTGTTGCAGCTGGGCCGCCTCCTGGATGGCTCAAAAAAGCTGTTTATCATACGCCAGAAGACGCGGATGTCACATCAGTGCGTCTCACCTGCTCGCAACTGGCTTGCCGCTGCTGTGAAGTCGACTGCGTGGCAGCAATCTGGACCACAATCGTACACTCCATTAATTGCTTTGTGTCTCACATCTTTCGTACTTTCTGGTCAGATTCTGACGCCCGTTGGGCCAGCAACGCAATGCGATCACGCAACTCCTGCACACACGTGTACACCGCATACACTCAATCCCTCAATCGGCGGCATTGGACATTTCACTCACCGCAACTTGCTTTTCGTGCAGCGCTCGCGCTTGCTGCTGCTCTTTGACCTCAGATTCACGATGCTGAACAGGGAGACATTAAAGGGACGCAGTGAAGGAGCAAGCTGGCCGACGGTCTCGGTGCAGTGTGCGCTGTGCTGACCCTGATGTTTGACTGTGTCTGCTCCAGCTCTGCGAGCAACGCTTGCTGGTCGTTCCGGACGAGAGCAGCCTGATGAATAGAGACACAGCAGCAATCCAAATAGGGTAGAAATGTTTCTGCTCTGCTCACCTCCTCCTCTTGTTTCTTGGCTTGTTCCTCCAGCAGTTGGGCCTCTCGGTTCCTCTCATCCAGTGCCTGTGTGGTGCGGCTGAGCTCCTGCTCGATCTCCTGGAACCTGCTGCCATCCTCCAGCTGGGCCGACATGTCCTTGATGGACTGCTCGAGGGACGACTGCTCCTCCTGCCGGCTCCTCAGCTGCAGCTGGAGGGCCGTTGTGCTGCGCTGATGGTCGTCCCACTGCTGTTGTCTGTAACGCATGTCTACAAGGAGAGAAGAAGACGGGGAGACACTCTGATGTGTGTCAGTTGAGGCATATCCCACCCATGTGCTGACCGCGGTTGGTGTCTTCCAATTCTCTTGACTTCTCTTCTTCTTCCTTCTGCACACTGGTTGCCCTCTGCTGAGTATCTGCTATCTCCTCTTGGATGGTCTGCAGCTTCTGACGCGTCGACTGCACACCGCAATCAGGTAAATCACAGACAGGTGCATTTCTTGTCTGTTGTGTGTCTCTAACCAGAAGCTGGATCCTATTGGTGGCGGCTGTGTGTTTGAGGCTGCTGGTCGACTGCCCCAGCTCGTCTTCCTTCTGCTTTCGCTGGTTGTCGAGCTCAGCCATCTTTCTGCACGCACCCACACGCCCTGTACGTGATCACTGCTAGAGGATAGAACAAAACGAGTACAGTACCTCTGCGTCGCTGCGATGGACTTTTTTATTTCTTCGCATGCTACCCTTGAATCGTTGTACTGCCTCTCAGCCTGCAGCGACACAAGTACCACCAGCAGACCTATGTCAACCTGGGGTCTGCAATGTGCCCACCTCGTCCAGCTGTTCATGCAGCTCGTCTGCCTCGATTGTCTGCGCGTGGCGGGCCTCGGCATAGCGCACCTCTCCCTCGAGTGTTTGGACCTCGGCCTCAAGCTCACCCAGTTGCTGGTTTCAAACATGTGTGAAGAGAAAATTGTGTGCCTGCCTTCATTTTCCCGTGTCATTGGTGTCCGCTGACTTGATCTTCGTCATCCTCTTCCTTGCGGAGCACGTCAAGCCGCATCCTGTGGGGAAGCATAGCATGCATCGACGCACACATTTTGTCACGTGCCACCCATGTGCGTGATCCTCACACGACGTTTTGCGCCTTGTCGACGTTCGGGTCAGCACCCAAGGCGGTAGACGACCGAGACACATCCAGATCTGCACATACAGCATCCAGGGGAGGGAGAGGTCTCATGAAATGACTTCTGAGCCTGTCATTTCCATTTGCTGACTTGCAATCGCATTCCCGTCTTTGTCCACCTTCATCCACTTGCCGCTCGAACGACCAAGCTGACACACCAGGAAAAAAGGGGGAAGATAAACGCCGGGAACCACCAATGTCAGGCGCGTGTGTGGACTCACCTCCGTACTGGATTTTGAGACGCCCATAGCGAGCGACTGAATCTCACGGAAGATTTTCTAAAATGCAGAAAGCAGGCAGAGGAGGATAAACAGGGTAGCGGTCGATGGAGTGTCCCTCCGTCAGTAGTTTGCCTCTGTGCGCTGTTTGTCGTCTCGAACGCGCGTCAGCTTCCGCGCCAGCTGAATGCTCTCGCTGGAAATCAGCAAACAAAAAGAACCGGTACCGATACCAATATGATGCCATCGATATGAGTGTCATCATGCCCTGTACGCGGATGCGTTTTCCATCTTTTCGAGGTTCGATGCTCGAGTCTTGTCCAGTGCTGTCGCCTCGGCGCGAAGCTCCTCCACCTGAGGTGGACACACGACAACCGGGCCATTCGGCACATGTGAAAGATATCCGACTTCACGAGCACCTGTCGGTAGATTTCCATCGGGTCCTCCGACGTCAGGTCCTCGGTATCTGAAGACAGATACGAGGACACACCTATGGCGTGATGACAAATAAGTGGCCTCATACGTTGAACGCCTGACCAGCAGATGAAGGCCCAGCGCTCAGTGGCGGAGACACGGGGGCATACATGCCGCCGGTGGGCGGCCGAAGCGGCTCCATACTGAAGAAACAATGCCATCATATAGATGTGTGTGTACAGATAGCCCTTCCATGTCTCCTCACATCAGCTGACCTCCGTCTTTCGGTGCGATCAAATGTGTCCCTCATCGAGGCAACCGATGGAGGCCTCTCCTCAGCCCGCACGACCGCGACCTCACCCTGCCTTCCAATTGACACCCTCTCTGCCCTCGGGGGGCGGCCATGCGTGAAGCGCTGGCTCTGCAAGAGCGGGTCGGCTGGCACTGGCGCTGGTGCAGGGACGTGGACAGGCCGTGTTCCAGTACGCTTGAGGATCATGTGCAAACACGGAGCCTGCAACAAGAACGTACACACTCCATGCATTGATTGCATGGCTGGCCATCTTTCGAGTACCGCCATGTTAGCCTGGTCAGTGTCGAAGCAATTGACGAAGCGCATGGGTGCGTTGAGGCTGCCTGCCAACTCACGCGGCTGATAGAGGTTGATCCAGTTGTGCAACTCGACGTCATCATGGGCGTCCAGGTTGTGCAGGGGCACATTGCGGCAGTACAGCAGCGGTGCTCTGAAGCGCTGCCTCTCGGCGGGCGTCAGGAGAACAGGTCCTGCAATGGGACGACTGAGGTCGGCCAAACACGCCTTGCTATAGACGCCGATTCGGAGGTACTGCCCCTCCTCTCGTCTGTCAGGGACGATGGCGAAGAACCCTCGCGGGAGTTGGAATATGGCGATGTTTGGGAAGATGACCAGGGAGGGGCAGAGGATGGCCTGGTCCAAGACATCGAGGCGGAGGCACAAACTGTGGGGGTTTGTGAAGTGGACCTGGTTGTTCACCGTAATCGTCACGGAAGCACTGGCATCCATTTTCCTTCTTGGTGGGGGCTTGTGGGGGCGGCATGCAGTCCCTCGGCGTCTGGGCCGACGGAAGATCTCCCGCCATTACTTACGCCACGGCCTCAAAAACCCACAGCAAACTCTTTCACCTCGGCATTCAGGCACACAAACGTGAAAACACAAAAAGAGTCACAGATAAAGGCGCAGGAACGACAAATATCACTGCATGAATGCTACATTACGGAGTGCTCTGCCTATCGTCACGTAGTACTCGCCGCGCACACAGACTGTAGTAGCCACTAAGCTACCAACAGCAATTCGCGGCCACTGACATGCATCCACGAAAAATACAGCCTCTACAGTGTCGAATACAACGTCATTGCTAGTGTTCTAGTGCGCCACTGCTTCGATGACACGACGAAATGCCCGATTCTTGCGCCGTCAGGCACTCTGGCTTGGACGGAAGCTGCCACTGTTGAGGGCTCCACACGCAGCTCCATACCATGCAGCCCTCTACCTCGACCGGTCATGTGCTGGATACGGTATGAGAGGCCGGTGAGGATGTAGCCGCCAGCGTCCTCAACAGTATCAGGTACTGAAGGCATACACACAAAAAGACGGACGCACACACATCACGAGGACCAACAGAAGGTATGTCTATCTTGCTCACCCTTCGTAGTGAAACTCAAGACGCTGGCACCTGTCACGGCGAGTATCGCCGGGAAGCTGGCAGCGGACTGAGCGAGCTGTGTGAGATCGACCGCCTCCCCCATATACACATTCTCCACCTGCCTCTCCCTCCCCAAAGCCCCCAACACAGCCACCGCCTCAGCACCCGGAACAGAGAGGATGTCCATACGACGAACGCGACTTGGCATCTTGTCGGCCAGCAGTCGGCCCGCAGCACCACCCAATTTGCTCGAGACTCTCAGCTCTCTGGCTTTTGGGAACGGCAGCAGGTGAGCGATGACGAAGGGGACGGGTGACGCGCTGACGGCTGGGGCCGTGAAGTCACGAGCATCTTTGACCAACACCCTGTTGGCGTTGTCGAATGAGAGTGTCTTGGCGACTCCGACGGCTGCCTGGCTGGGGTCATCGATGGGGTGCGTGAGGTCGTTGTCTGTGAATATATACGACAGGCATTTCGGCTGTCGTGCCAGCGACTGGATGGCGGTCTTGAAGAGAGGTGAGGGGTGGTCGGAAAGTCGTCGCTGTAGAAGAGGGACAGGTCGAATGTGTCGTCATCGTTGGGCCCTGGGTAGGGGTCTCCCTCTTCCCACCCGAACGTGCCGAAAACTCGGTTGAAAGTCACCGGTGCGTCAGGCCGGCAGCACGCCGCAACCAGGGGCTCGAGAGCGTTAAGGAGGGGCAAGAGGGCACGGTCGACCGGCTGATGCGAGGGCACTTCCACACGGAGACTCGTGATTGACTGGCGACAGCCACGCGACACAAGGGCAACCTGAAGAGACGACAAGGCAGACACATCAACCGGTTATCTCACTAAGCTAGCCGCACTTTCCTGTATGTCACACCTGAAGCCGGCCCAGTGCTGTCACGGTCTGCGCCGGCTTGAGGTGTCATGGCGGGAATCCCGATTGAGGATCATTGATTGTCTCAATGGGCCTTATCCAGTGGCCACTATCAATCAAAAAGAGGGAGGATCTGCGACCTCATGTCGCTTCAGGTCACACAAGCAGAGCACAGCTCTCGCGTCAGCTAGGAGACTGGACACGCACCGGAAGCTAATGGTAGGTGATGGAAGCTGACATCAGGCACAATGGGTTTGAGCACATTCGTGTTGCTGTGTGTTTGGTCATCAGGAGGGGACTCACTACCTGTTCAGGAAGTGAGCACATTCAGACCAGCACACCGACAGACGGTCACTCGACATCGATATTGGGTCCGACAAACAGACATCAACACAGACAGAAAGACAACAAAGCCCCGCCATGTTACGTGGTACATGTTGAGTGGCATCGCATCAAAGTGCCTTCGTTCCAACGAGCGTCCGATCCATCCATCCATCAACAATCCATCCATCCATCAGCCCACTCTCACTCTCTCAAGCTAGCTGTACAACCAGGCGTCCCCTCCCCCAGTCAGTCAGCGTTGTGCCGGCTGCGTGGCGATGCGCTCCGCTGCGGCATCAGGGGAGGGGGAGGGATGGGGATGGCGATCGGGGTGGGGGCCGGCTGGGTGTTCATGGGGAGGGTGCTGGTGGTGGTGGTGGCTGCTGGGGCAGAGGCAGGGGCGTGGGGATACGTCCCAGCTGGCCGGACTCGTTGATACCACAAGGCCCATTGAGATCGATAGTCCCGATGGCCTCCAGGTGCCGCAGTGGCCCCGGCTGCCCGGGATCCGGCGTAGGCATCCGCTCAAACACATCCTCCACCCACCATTCAGCCCGCAAACACCAGTCGATGCGCCGCACAGAATGGGAAGAATCGATGAGCTGTCCGAGCTTTGCGGCACCATACCCCATGCTGACGTCCTCTTCAAGCGTCACCTCCTCCAGCGACGGCATCAACCACCCTCGGCCACCGAGATCGAAATGGAACTCAGACAGGCCCTTGATAGCTGTGAGTGCGGAGAGGGTCGGGGGAGGGTCGACAAGCGGCGGACGAGCCGGATGTTCCCGTCCGAAGGTCCCAGACTCATTGCTACGCCAGCCGTGTTTCTCAATTGTGATGGTCCTCAACGTTCCTCCATCCATGTTGGCAGCCCGCCGCCCGGCGACGTGGCTCTCTACTACGGTAAGGAAAACGTCAAAGCACCAGAGAGGAATGGCCGAGGGATGGCAGAAAGTGATGCTGATCAGCTGCGTGAGGGATGTTGCTATCTGCTGTACGAGGGCGAGAGGGATTCGTTGCCAAAGCGAGCGCTCTCCCCTCAGCCGTGCGCTGATAGACAAGTGATGGTAATTGGGGGCCGCCAGGACCCAAGTTTCTCGCGACAGCCACAGCAGTAGATGGAGTGGGAGGAAGGCCATAATGCGGCCAAGGAGTCCAGGCTGCAAATGTACAGACAGCGACACGCCGGCTTGTCCGTCCCATCCCAACACCTGTGATTTGCCACTGTTTTGCTTACCTCATCGCTGATTTGCCGTCGAAGGTCCCGCTCCCTTTCCTCGCGTCGCTGCCGTTCCTCCTCACTCTCACCACCCGATGGCGCAGCTGTGCCAGGAGCGGCGCGGCGCCTTCTTTTGGTCTGAAACAGAAACACAACAGACACACTCACCGATGTCAAAAACTTCGACAGCGATGCCTTGACTCACCCGGCGAGAAGCGCTGCGGGCGGACGACATTGGATGAGTGACACATGGTGGTGTGTCCATCTGATTGGCTGTGTGTTGCGTTTGATGGAGAGTTGCCGGCCGGATCGTCAAGCACGACAGTGAAGGGTAGCTGATGGATCCATGGACAGCCTGGGCTTCAACTATCCTTTCATTTTGTCGTTCTTCTCTTTTGTCGTTAGGGCACATTGGAAAACGGAAAGCAAAGTTCAGTGAGCGGACCGAAGGATATGGAGTGACGGGGAGCCTGGACGATATCAGTCGATGACGGAAACCCTTCCACCTCGGCACGTGTTTATCCACTCGTCTTCGCGTGGTGTGACCAACCCTCGGCTGAAGGCGCTGAAGCGAGGCAACCTGCGAGGACCCTCAGACACCGGTCTATCCCGCAATGCGAGACGACATGAGGTGGCGCACACAAACGCCTCACTCGCAGCCGCCGTTTCCCTTCTTCTCCGGCCGAAGACGAAGGCCAAGCAGGAGGGAGGAGGAGGGCGGCACACTGTGGCTCGAGAGGTCTCTGACCCGGCAACGCTGACCACAGATCTGGTTCCTGCGGGGGAGACCAAGAGCGGGGAGGCACATCCCAACAACCCGGCAGACGATGCTAACCCTGGCGTCAGCTCATCTATGGGTGCTGGCGTCAGCTCGTCAGTGGGCACGACGCGAATGGGCAGCGAGACCTCCACCCTCTCGGTCGATCAGCACGGGCAGTCTGACGGCAAGAGCTCATCGATCTCGTTGTCACGTGGCGACTCACCGGCCGATGATGAGGACGTGCCACCGCCCCCGCCCTCGCCCGAAGGCCTCAAAGAGGCCTGTGAGCACCCAGAGGCGACCACTTCCCCCCCTTCTCCGCCGCCCAAGCAAGACGAGGGCGCCAGCGAGGTGCAGACGACGGTTGGTGGGGATGTGTCCCGAGGGGTGACGGGCAGCTCGGGTCCCGGCCACAGCTCACCGACCGCGGCCGTCAAGCCGCCTGAGATCACAGACAATTTGCTGACGCTGCTGAACCTGCAGCAGAGCTCCAGCTCGGCATCGTCGTACGACAACCCCCCGGCCACCATGGCAACGGCCAACTCCCCGCCCGCTCTCGCCAATCGCCGCGTGCTGCGCCGCCACCCACCCGCCAGCAGCGACTCGCTGGCGTCCTCTTCACACGCCGCAGCTGGCGCGCCGCCGAGCAAGCGATGGCGATGTGTCAAGTGGCGGCCGTTCGGCAGATGGAGGACTCGGAGCAGTTCCAACACCACACAGACGGCCTCGACGGCACGCTCAGTGGAGAGGGACGACGTCCGCTTCGACGAGAGCGCCGCTGACTACGCGCGTCGCATGAGTGGCGACGGTGGGCCGGCCGTGCTGCGTCGCGACGACAGCCGGGAGATGGATGACCAGGCGTGTGGGTGTGGGCCGGGGGCGGGGTCGATGTTGTGCTCTATCGCCACGGGTGAGTGAGCAGAGAGACTGGTGGGGTCGGTGGGCGGGCGCTGCTGCATCGTGATGCATCCGTCGTGTGTGTTTGTCTCTTGTGTTGTGCAGTTGCGTGTTGCTTCGGCGCTGTCATGCTGGGGTGTCTGGCCATGATGATGGGCATGGACAGCGGCGGTGAAGACGGATTCGACATCTCTGGTGAGCCCTACCACCGAACACTCTCACACCCACCACACCTATGACCTTGTCTGCCCCTTGGCGCCTTGATTGATGCAGGTGGTGGCGGCGATGACGGTGGTGCTGGTGCGATGGATGGGCTCGCGCTCGATGCGTACCCCGCCGACAATGTGCCACAGGATGCTCTGCAGAACCAGGACATCCCTGTGGACGCGCTGAGGCCCGGCAGCAACTGGATGAGGGGCACTGATGTCGCCGCAGTCCTAGACAGGGACCTGTGAGCGACCTACTTCTGAGGTGGATCAAGTGATTTGTACCGAGTCATAGGGAGGGGGGCGGGGACGGGGGAGGGTGTGTGTACTGTTTTCGTGGTGGTGGTGGTTTTGATGGCTGACGTGACGAGTCACCACAATGGGAGGGCGGGAGAGGGAGGGAGGGGGGCATCGCGTCGCTTTCACTGCCTTGGTTGAGCTCACGCCGCTCTCTGTGTTTCTTCCTTCCTCGCTTGATTCCTTTCTCCCTCCTGTCTGTGCACATACACTGATGTGCGCTTTCCTTTATTGTCGCAGCGGCACACGCTCGGCTCGCGCCGCAGCTAATTGGCCTCTCTCTGTCCGTCCGTCGGTCCGTCCGTCTGTCTGTCTGCCCACTAGTCGATGCTCACTCCTCCCAGGCGGTCGCCCGTGCGATGCAAGTCGACGCCGCCCCCGTAACTGTTTCATAGACCATGAATGGAGTTGTTTTTCCTCTTGTTTTTCAATGATAGCCTTTTCCGCCTTGGTCTCCCTGCCCTTCTGTGTTGGTTGTATTGTGTGTGGAGTCGTTGCTTTCTTTTGGCTGAAGGGGTCACTTACTTGCACATGGGATGGGGGATGGGGGAGGGAGGGAGGGGGTGGCCGAGGGGAAAGAGAGAGCTGGGGTGGGGTGGTGGGATATATGGTGACCGTACTGTATCGTCGGCTGTGTACGCCGCTGCTGTCGTTGGCAGCAGGCAAGAGGTGAGGGAGGGCGCGAAGATGCGTGATTTTCTCAATCGGAAGGAGAGGGGCCCAGCCCCGATGGATGGCTCTTTTTCTTGCCTGCCTATAGATGTCACAGACACATACATACATACCTACCTCATGAGTTCAGAGCAAGCAGACGTAAGTGCGTACGGACAGGCCGCCTGCCGGCCGGCCATGATTGATGGCCATTTTCTTCAATGCCTGGCTAATGGGGAATGATGAATGTGAATGTGATGTGAATGTGAATGTGGCGGG